TATCGACAAAGAAAGATTAGAAATTTATAAAATTCTCACAACAAAGCTATAATTACTATTGTATATACAATTATATCTTTGAAAATGCACAAGAACCTGACTTATAGAAGACCTGCTAACATTTAAGTGTTTTGCAATTTTTCGATTCTAAAATTTTTTTAATAATTTGCCAGCGAATGTGGTTTAAAAACATCTTATTTTTTGAATTCAACAAGAAATGTGCATAATTTTTTATTATATTAGCCACCTGATTTTAAATTACATATATATTACAGTATTATATTAATTTTTATTGAATTTATTATGCCAAAAAAATTACCGGCCAAAAAATTTTTGGCCAATTTTTTTTATAGGTGTTCCAGGAATAATGAAAATAGCTGTAACTTCGCAGCTACTTCAGGCAATGTCTTTGCTACTAAAAAAAGTTGTAGACGAAATAAAAGAACAACAAAAATTATATTATACCAAGAGGTAAAAACGGGGAGCAACAGAGTAGCACTACAGTAGCTCTTCAAGAGGCAAAGTAATTTCGCACCCTGCCCTACCCTCTCTCAAATAGAATCTATGTAGAATTCTGCTATTTTGTGGCAGCTTAAATGTCTCTTTTCACTGGCCAAAATTAAGTGACCTAAAAGCTTCTGGCTGATAGTGGCCAATATTTATGCTGGCAGGAAACTACCAGCTAATGCCAATTGTATATATATCCCTGTCAATTATACATCAATCGCACTGATGTATGTTATATATCTCTTCCAATTATACATCAAACTCACTGATGTATAATATATCTCTTCAATCATATATCAAACAAACTGATATATGCTATATATCTCTTTAATAAAGTTTGAATATCCAGCACTATTAGTGCTGGAATGTGTCTAACAATTATTCACTTGTGTGCAGTTCTTATTGATTGCTATTGCTCAAGTTAGTATTTAAAACAAAAATATATTCTTATATAATTAGAAATATTTTGGCATTAGATTTTACTAAAAATCTTTAGCCATTTAATATCAAAATTTAATACTAAAATGTTTTTTGCTAAGCTGCAATTTTAGCTTTTTGTTCTATAACAATAATACAATAATTCTGCATTATTGATATTTTACGTTTTACAAGCAAGAATTTCATCAATTGGAATAATGCACCTATTTTGGTGTAGTTAAAATTACTATTATAATTTTATTTTATACGCAGCTAAATGAACTTTTATCTTAAAATTATAATAATATATAGTAATAAAAAAGAATTTATAAAATTTGTATAAATTTATTTATCATTTAAAGAAAATATAAACAATTATAAATATTAATTTTAAAAAAAAACAGGTAAATCTATAGGACAAAACAGATTTGCTAATTTCCATTTAGCATTGTTGTCTACTGCCAGATAAATAGTATCATCCAATTCTGAATCTAAAATATCATCCTGGCCTTCATCGTTTAAAGTAGAATTTTCTTCTTCTTCTAACATTTCTTCCCACTCTTGAAAATATTCACCAAATTCGGCTTCTGAAATTAAAGACAAATCTTCTTCATAATCTTCTTTTTGATTTTTTATTTCTGTAATTTGTTGATTAGTGAAGTTATTTTTTTCTGAAGTATCATTTTGCAATACTGATGTACTTGAAGTCTCATTAAAAACTGTATTAGCTTCATTATCAAATTCTTTGAGTTTTAAAAAAAATTGAAAGAGGAGTATCAGTTTTACAGCGATGGTTATAAGTTATATCAGCTCGCAATTTACTCATACTAAGTGCTTTGTCTGACTAAAATAAAAAATAGTTTTTTATTCAAATATATACTAAACAATAAATATTTATTTAACTTACAGCCAATCGATTTCTTCTGTTTGTTTGAATAAATCCTATGCAACTCCATAAATGTTCCACTAAAGCAAAATTGATACAGATACCAAATATTCTGCAAGCAACAAATCCTAGCTCATTCGTTGAACTTCCTACAAAACACCAATATTCTAAAATATCATCTTTAAATTGATCAAATGTTTTATTATCAAAAGGATACTGTTTTAATCGAAAATTATTAAATTCACAAAAGATATATTGAGGTTCTTTATTTGTCTATGCACGATAATAATAACTTAACCATTTTCCAAATGTGGTATAGTTAATTGAGGTTGTAAGTTGAATTTGATTTATTCTATATTTGGGATGTAGGATTACTGAAAGTAATAAAATTGGTTGTTCCCAATTACTCCAACGATGTTCAAGTCTTTTAGTTAATTTTATCACAAGTTCATTATCATTATCAGATGATTCCCAAAATTGTATAAGATATGCCATACTTAATACAACTTCAAACAAGCGAGCCTTGTCTCATTGAAGGACATCAAGTAATTTACAATATGGTGTAAGAATATTGATTAAATATTTAATTTGTTCCCAAAATATTTTTGAATTGATAATTTCATAAATTTCACGATGAATGTAATTGGCACCTGGTTGATGGTAAGATTCATTAAATGGTGGTTTAAATTTGATTACTAAAATCTAAAATAGTAAAAGATACATATATAATTATTGTATTTAAAAATTTTAAAAATAAATTTAATTTTAATTTACCTCTAATGCTTTTTGTATACGAAGAAGTGTTGTATACATATAAAATAAACTATTCTATCGCGTTTCACCAGGTGCTGAAATTGTATAAATTTTTTTATATATTTCAAACTGTTGATCGCGCAATTGGCCAATAAAAAACTGATTATTAGCATTTCGAAAATAGTTAGCCACTTTAATTCCCTGATCAATAGTTGTTTTTAATATTGTTGACTCTTTAAAGATTTCTCCTACGCATAAATTTAACTGATGTGCAAAACAGGGAATAAAGACTATAGATCTATAAGAATTTCTTAACCGATGTTTAATATAATATAATATATATATATAATTATTATAATATTATAATATATATTACTTTATTTATTTCTAATATTTAAATATTATTATTTACCTTGCAGCTGCATAAGCACTGGCGCTATCTGTTATAACAGAGCAAACTTTAATACCTGTTGTTTCTAATTCAGTAATCATAGATTTGGTTTTATTTATAACTTCTTTATAATTTTCATGCTCTAAACTAATATTATAGGCTTTCCAAATATAAGGTTTGCCTTTAGAAGATAAAATTACAGTTCCTAAAAGATGTTCACTTTTAACATTCGTCCATCTGTCATATATTAAAGTTACACCAACTGAATCATTTTGTAATGCAACTTCCATAGCTTGATTAAGATCAGTAACTATATCTTCTAAAACATTTTCACTTAAAGTTCTATGGGTAGGAAGTATAATTAAAAGATTTAAAAATTCAAAAAACTCTTTTACTTTAGGATTTTCAACCCATGATAATGCCCATTCACAAAAAACTGACATATGAAGTAAAAGTATATTGAATTTTTTATGATCTTCACTTGATAGAGAATGTATTATATAATTTTCAATAGGCCTATGAATTTCTGAGCGAACTATTACTTTACGAGATGAATTCAAAGAACTGGTAGAATCTAAAATATAAACATTTAATTAATTTAATATACATAATTTATATTTAATTATATATAAAAATTAAACTATTTACCCACTCTTTTTCTAACTATAGTTATGTTATTTTCTTCTAATTCAAATACTTTTGCTTGTTCTTCTTCAGTAGTTTTGTTTCTTAAATGTTGTAATATGTGATCTTTTTTATTAGGAAAAAAAATTTTTTTTCCTTCATCTTCGCCTAACACATTAATGCAAGATTTACAAAATGTTTTGTAATTACTTTGGTTTAATTTAATTTCTGATTTTATAATATAATTATTTAGGATCACAAGTAAGGTTGGCATTTTGGTATTTGACTATTTGCAAAAATATTTGCTTTAGCGCTCTATTTAAATATTGTAATATTGTATTAAAATAAAGATTTCATATGCAAGGCTTTAATTACTTTACTTTTTAAACAAAATCATGATTATAGATTGCAATTTGAACTACGCCAAGCTAATTATTTAAGCTACCAATGAATTTATTAAAACAAGCTAGCAAATTGCATATTGAAAATAGGAATTAACTCGAATTAGCAGTAGAAGCTTACTATAAACAGAATAAACTGCTAAAAACTTGTGTAATTCTTGTTGCATGTATGTACATATATACTTTGTTTCCTATTATAATATATGTATTTGTTTTTTCATGCTGATTATTATAGGCAGACATTCGTATAATTGGCAGTTTAAATTAATTTAATTTTACATTATTTATACAATTTAAAGTACTTTTTAAAAAAAGAAAACTACAAAGAATAAACAAAAAAAAACATGTAGAAAGTTTTATTAGGGTTGTAAGACTCCACTATTAAAAATAATCAAAT